GAGGGTATGTGCTATGGTGAGCGCTGTGAATTGTGCAAGACTGTTGAATCACAGATCTGTACCCCTGAAACAAATAATACATTATATGTTAAAAAAAAAAAAAAAGAAGAAGATAGCAGGTGGGGAAGAGTGAAGGGGAGTAAATCGGAGGGGGAGATGAACCATGAGAGACTATGGACTCAGAAACAAACTGAGGGTTCTAGAGAGGAGGGGGGTGAGGGGATGGGTTAGCCTGGTGATGGGTATTAAGGGCACGTTCTGCATGGAGTACTGGGTGTTATGCACAAACAATGAATGATGGAACACTACATCAAAAACTAATGATGTAATGTATGGTGATTAACATGACAATAAAATTTAAAAAAAAAGAAGTGAGAATGCAGTGGCAATGGGAAAAGAGATTAATGGGTAAAATAGTATAAAGGGTAGGACTTGCAGAGGGAGATTAGGAGTAGTAATCTCTGGCTGAGTGAGACTCTGTATTGCGTTCTTGATAGCAACTGGCACTTGGTAAAACAAACACAAAACCAACCACCTGAATTAGGTTTTAGAGAAGCTAATACATATTTCTTCACCCAAGCAGGGGATGAGAGAAATGGAAAGTGAGTAAGTAGTAATGTGCCTAAAAATGATCGATCAATCCTGGCACCATTTTAATTTGAATGAGTAGTTTTACATTTATAACAATCATTAACCAGTCCATATTTTATTTTTAAACTTTTTCATAAATATCCTAACAGGGATACATTCTTAGAGAATCTCAGAAGTTAGTTTCAGAGGCAGCAAAATAACTAAAGAAGTAGAAACACGGTCTAGTGAGGACCCAGAAAGAAGGAACCTAGTCGGGGTAAATTTTACTGATATACCACAAAAGCGAAAAGTGGTAGTAGATGAGAGACGTTATGATTCCATCCATAGGGACGATCAAAAGACATTTAAAAAAACGGGTATATAATAATTCTAGCGCATATCCATTAGTGTCTTTCAGGATTTCAATACCAAAGAAATTGAAGAGCCATACCCAATGATTTCATAAATTGATTGCTATCCAAGTAGTACATATCAACTTCAGTTAACTGAATGATTGGATCTACAAATTAGGACTTATTCCACGATACTCAGCTTTCCCATCTAAGTCCCACTGTTCAACCTTCTTGGGTAATTAATACTGATTTTCTGCTTTTTCTTACCACCTATCCATAATATAAAATTCAAATAATTTATACATTTGGGATACTTAAGTCCTCTGTTCTATATTTTTTTTAAGAGATTTTATTTATTCATTTGCAAGAGAGACAGAGAGAACAAGCAGGGGGAGAGGCAGAGGGAGAGGGAGAAGCAGACTCCCCGCTGAGCAAGGAGCCCGACGCAGGACTCGATCCCAGGACCCTGGGATCACGACCTGAGCCGAAGGCAGATGCCCAACCATCTGAGCCACCCAGGCGCCCCTGTTCTATATTTTAAAATGTTGAGTTGAACAATTTGCATTTAAAACCCTTTTTTAAAAAAATAAAATTACAATATTCTGAATGATTTAGTTGGCTTCAGAGAGAAAAATAAGGCATACATAATATACAGCATCCATTCCTACAACTATTAACTATAATACAAATTATGAAATTGATATAAATTTTCATGACCACCCCCCCCAAAAAAGTGTTCTCAGTATTGCTACTGTTGTCAGTACTGGTTTTCCAGCTTCCTGCTCTCTATGAATAGTATAAGAAACCTGCCATTTCCACTAGAAACATTAAAACTCAAGTGACACAACAATTAAAGTTCTAATTTTGTAGTTTAACTTTAAAGTTTCATACTACTCCACCTCTTCATCCCCCTACAACTTTCAGTTTGAAAGAAAGAGGAGAGATGAACCTGGGGATTGTTAAAAAGTAAAAATTAAATGTATAATGTTGTTACTTGAGCTCCAAAAGTGTTGTAGTTTGTAAAATTGACAAGGTCCTTTAATTTTTAATGCTTCCCCAAGTGCCTGTCAATTATATAAAGCTGTGCGTAATGAATGGTATAAAATGCTGTTCCCAAGTCTTTAAGTTTTATTTTTTAGTGAATATATTTATTCCATGTATTTTATGTTAAAAATGCTAGAATAAAAAAAATATGGAGCTACTTTTTCCAACTTATTAACCCTTAACTTTATCTAGGATTTTCACATTGTGGATGTTACTTTTCTTTAATCTGTTCTAATATTTTACCTCCTACATTCTTTAGAGTGTTCCTATATGATCTTTACACAGCCCTATTCACAAAGTGTAGTACAGACAGGGCAGCACAAGCTGCAGATGCCTTTGTTGGTAGTATAATAACTAACTTTCATCCAGGTTATGGGAGAATTAAGGGGATGGAGTTAGTGAAAATTCCAATTAATTAAGGGTTTAATAACAAATAAATTATTCAGCTCCAAATAATCTCTCCAGGATTCTCCTCTCTTTCTCAAGACCCTCAAGTTAATCAAAAGGGGTTTTAAGGTTACAAGCTACTTACCAAATTATCTGAGAGAAAACTTTTCTACTATTTCTAAAAGAGTTAAGAAATAATTTGGCTCTTTCTTCAATAAAATCAAAATAGCTTTGTTTTCTGCAAAGATTATGTTGTCAGGGTAGTATATTCTTTGTAAGTGTAAATGTATGATATTATGAGTTGATTTGCTCTTGTTTTAAGTTGTTACATAAACATTTTAAAAATTCCAAATTTCCACTTTTTACTATATTTTCAATAGCTACTTATATTTTGTACACTATATGTAAAAGAAGTTTCAAATCATCTAATTGTATGTATAGTTGACCCTTGAACAACACAGGTGTTGGGGAGCCTACTGTCTATGCAGTCAAATCTGCATATAACTTTGGACTCCCCAAAAACTTAACTACTAATAGCCTACTGTTGACCAGAATCCTTTCCGATGACATAAAGTTGATGTAACACATTTTTTAATAATAGGTACCACATACTGTATTTTTTTTTTAAGATTTTATTTATTTATTTGAAAGAGAGAAAGAGCATGAGCAGGGGACAGGAGGCAGAGGGAGAAGCAGCAGACCCCCCACTGAGCAGGGAGCCCCATGTGGGCCTCCATGTGGGCCTCGATCCCGGGACCCCAGGATTATGACCTGAGTTGAAGCAGATGCTTAACTGACTGAGCCACCCAGGCGCCCCATACATAGTATTCTTACAATAAAGTAAGCTAGAGAAAAGAAAATGTTATTAATAAAATCATAAGGAAGAGGGAAGCTGGGTGGCTCAGTCATTTCAGTGTCTGCCTTCGGCTCAGGTCATGGTCCCAGGGCCCTGAGATCAAGTCTTACATTGGCTCCCTGCTCAGCGGGGAGTTTGCTTCTCCCTCTCACTCTCTCAGTGCTCTCTCTCTCTCTCTCAAATCTTTAAAAAAAAAAAAGAAAAAGAAAAAGAAAGAATCATAAGGAAGAGAAAATACATTTGCAGTACTGTGCTGTAAAAAAACCCTTGTACAAGTGGACCTGCACAGTTCTGGGCCATTCACACCTGTGTTGTACAAGGGTCAAACTGTATACGTATGCTATATAAAACAGAGAGGGAGGGAAGAAAGACACAAAGAGAAAAAGGAGACTTACTTTTTCTTCTGTGTTGCACAACAAAACTTGAAAATGTTTTTTTTTTTAAATTGAGTTTTTCAAAAGAGAATATAGTAAGTTTTATGGGAAATCAGTAGTTTTAATAAAAGGTAAAATACTGGTATGTGAACCACAAGGTGGTGCTATAATTCCATGCTGGCAGTTAACAGATTTTTCTTTTGTAACTGTTAATATCTTGATTTTTATATTTTTTATAATGGAAAAAAAACCTAAGTGGGTTCATTAATTCTAGAAATATTTACTGAAATTCTACTAAATTTAAGCTTGTATGCTAACTTTAAAAATTCATAAATTTTAAAGTCTAATGACTAAACATGTTACAATACTAAAAATGCCTTATTTCTCCACAAAATTTAATGTTAATAAAATTAACTTTTAATGTTAGTTTCATGTGACAATATCAAATTACACATAGAATATAAAAAGATAATAAATAAAATACAATCAGATGATCTAAATAATAATAAAAAAGAAAAAAATCCTTTCTTCCTTCCAAATAATGGAATCAATTTTCTTAAAGATTACCCAGGGTTGTTATTATATTTTTCATGTATAAAGTTAAAAAAAAGATCATGTGTCTAGTAACGTATCTAGTAATTGAAAGTGAATTTCATTTTTCTCTTGATTTAACTTCATCTAAGACCTTTTCTCTCTAGAAAAATATATAACTTCCCATCACTTAAAAGAAAACAAAAACCATACTGTGTATCTTGTAATATTGGATGGCCACCATCTGTGTCTGTGCTGCTGGTCTTAAAATGTGTTATGGAATAGAGCACTAAAATACTCAACACATTTTTCATGGTGAACTTTCTGACCTGTTGCTAAATACAAAAAGAAAATCATACCCTCACTCTTTCAGTGTTAACTGAAAATGTATTACTCCTTTCTGATTAAACATAAAATTGTATTTTTATTTAATTTTCAATGAGCATTTTTACCTTTTCATTACAACATATTAGTCAGTACAGATGGCAAGATGGTGTGCATGAGAGCCTCCTGGGTACAATACACAAGTCCCAGTTGGAATGTTTCCAACAGGATGTAAACCATGGTCCACAAGTCTGTACTTTAAAAAACATATTACTTAGCACACTGCCAACAAATGTCAACACAAAAATACAGTACTGTAATGACTTCACTCTGTAAAAGAAATGTACTGGCACATAAGTTTTCCTTAAAAAAGTAAAACAGAGTAAAGAAGTATAATCAGCATAAAAATAAGTATTTATTCAATATTGAAAAAACTCATATACCAAATGGAATTCAAATTCTTCATAAAAAATATTGCAGTATATTAAAATTTATAGAGAATTCTTAAAATATACAACATGTACAGTAGCCAAAGGCCTAGAGAAGTTCACGCAGAAAATTCTATAATTGGTGATTTGGACATTTCAGTAACTCTGCGGTTTCTTCAAACCTGCAATACAACAAATAAATAATATTAAGTAAAAAAAAAGTTCATAATGAGGCATAGGATTTAAGTGGCTGAAATTATGCTTTTGAACCTAAAATAAGTTTCAGTATTTTTCTTAACTATAGGTATAAATGACAAATTAAGTAGATACTATGGCCAGAGGGGAGAAATAGCAACCAAAGTCAATTATGAGTCTTTAATTCTTAGAGAGTAAGTTATTTTAATAATCATAAATAATAATTATGAAATTTCAAAACAATATAGTTCATTAAAGTAGTAGGCTGCATAGTACTTATGCAAGTTCATTTCATATTTCCTTTTCATTGCTCTTTAATCATTTGTCGTTTCACATTTGTACAAGATACAAGTATCATTTTTAGTAGTGCTTTGCCAATAACTGTCTGAAAGACTGGCAATATTTTAATAATACTTAAAATGTCTCCAAACCATCCACAGACATATATTATTCTGCTACATCAGTAATCAAATGAGATAATACTCTTGATTAACTTTCAACCAAAAATATCTCTGCACTATTTAATCCCACAATTAATTCCATTAACAATGTTTTACATCACTTGTTGGAAACCAAAACAGTGACTCATCTCACAAACACATAACTGTAGGTGGATTTATTATCCACTAGAGTCCTGAAGGAAATTCCACACCTGATTGAGAGACCTTTAAGGTTTGAAACACATATGCACTTTCTATATATACTGTAATCCAATACAATTCCCTATAGAGAAATGAATTTCTGTTGCCCCTTTCTGTTACTTACATTTTTTTCATCCTTTCCATTTTCTGGATTGTTGTTTCCTTTAATTTAAAAAGCAACAAATTTAGGCGATTTCTCAAAGTAAACCATCATCAAAGATGGACCATGAACATGTAAAACACACTCTAAAACACTGCATTAAGTACTATTTACTTACCATAAAGAATTTTTACGAGAGATTAAGATTTATAGTTTCGCTATTTTTCTTGCCAATGGCATCTCCAACTAAATCTAATGCTTGCTTGTTCTCCTGACCTTAGAAAGGAAATCATCTTAAACAGTTGCCAGTTTTTCTTACCTCTGAATTCTCTTTCAAACCACAGTAACTACCAGTTGAGGTTCTGGGAGTTGAATCTGATGACACTGTACTATAGCCAGAGGATACAGGAATACTTGTTTGCCTCTCCTCTTTGCTTTTTCTATCTGTGGAGAAATTCATTTTTAGGTTATCTTCCTTTCACAGTGGAGTCATATCTAAAAACTTTATGTATAAATTGAAGAAAAACAGATATTTTACTATGAAATGGCTACGAGTATAGATCCAGATAAATTTTTATTCTTTTAAGATAATAACCTAGACACAGAGATCTAGATGTTAAAAGTAGGCCAATAAAAATGACAAAAGGTACTATTACCTTTATCACAGCAATCAATTGAATAAATAGACAAGTTCATAATTTTTAAGTATAAGCTACTGACTCAGGTATATCCCTTTCTTAAAGTGGTGGTAACCATTACTAACACTGACTATATTTTCTAAAAATCAAAAAACATTCTATCCTAAGTTAAAGTGCATGGAAAAAACAATGATTAAAATTCAGAGTTTACAGATTTCTTTTTTCCTAAAGAATTGAAAAAACTTCCAGTTCCAGTATGCTGATACCATTCATTCAACAAAATGATGGCAAATTTTTCCTACAACTCAATCAATTATAAAGCATCACAGATAAAACATGGTGCTATTAAATCAATCCCATAAGCCCTATGTTTTAGTCCGGATACATATGGTTGCAAAAATCAAGGCCAAAAAAAAAATAGGCACCCATTTAAACTGGTACACATAGGACAGTTTTACTGTAAGCCGACAGACAGCCTCAATTAGGGAAAAAGTATTACCGCCTGAGGACTGAAACGACTAGACTCTTACTTTCATCTCTCATGGAGGTGTGTGAGATGTCCACTTCTCTTACCTCTTTACTCCATTCCTCTGCTTGCTTATCAGCATGAATTTGAACAAAATGGCCAGCCCAGCCCAGGCTCAACAACATTGACTGACTTAGTATCCTAATTCCAAATTCCCCAGGGAGAGAAAATGATCTGGCTCAACACCTTTTGGATTGGTATTCCCTGGGTTAGGTGTCTACTTTTGATCCGGTTGGGTCAAGATCACATGGTAGATTAGCTACACCCACGTCTTTTGGCAGGGGCTGTTGGCAACAGTTAATTTCAAGGAATAACCTGAACCTAGGCAGGAACTATATCCACCATTCCCTAATCTTGGGTTATTTTCTATGGATAGAGAGAAGTGTCCTTTGAAAATACTGAACCAAGCTGTTCAAAAATAGGGGAGTTTTGAGTCCTAGGACAGGAAACAAAGAGTGGGAAGACAGAATGGAAGGTGAATGGAAGGTGAAGGAATGGCTCTCTCTGCTCTGATTTCTGGGGCCTAGACTTTGAGGATCTATCTAGCCATCAAGGGTGAACCTCATTATGGGAAAAACCTGGTATTAGGCAGGCTAGGGGGCTATTTGGAGAGCCATATAGGGCATTCCAGAGATTACAGAATGGGGAATATACCGAACACCAGCCATATTTGATAGCCAGATCAGTTAAGTGTATATTACTTTTCTGTGACGATTTTTCCTATTGCTTTCCTGAGCCTCTAGTCTTCCTTGTTTAAACGTAATGGTTTCTTAGCTGTGCTATGAGAGATTTGAGAAAAGACTGGTAACTAAGCTCAGGTTGGAAAGGAAAGGGGAGAGTAATGGCCCCAAAGGCCAATGTTGTTTTGGAGTTTCAGAGTCACCGCTCATAGATCTCTGTGAAGAAAGGGGATCTCTAAGATCTAGATTTCCTAGTCAACTGTCTCCACGTGACCATTCATCTTTCACTGCCAACTTTGGAGAATTATGACCTCACTGCACTAAGAGAACTAGTTGGGTCCTTTGCCATTTAACTATACAGGTATCGCCCACTTTTTGAAAGTTTTCCCATTACGCCACTCTGCTTTTACAAAAGACCCACATTAGTATCTATTTTTGCTAACCAAAAGAAATCAAGGAGGATGTTGACTTTGAGTCATTATAGAGGCCTCACACCCTAAGCGGCGAGAGTGGCCCTGCCAAGTGGCTTCCCTGGGAGCTACCCTCAGCAGCTCAGCACCAGGCCTCCACAGCTTTGAACTGTTTCTATGAGTGACTGTGCTTTATCACAATTTAACTGTGTTCCCGTTAGCAAGATGTGTCCTTAGGTATCAGAAAAGTCTAAGAGAAGTTATTTTTTGGGTCTGGGAATGCTCATAAATTAGTGGTAATTGCTTCTTTGCTTTACACCATTTAGGCTTATGGAAGGTTTCCTAGTAATGCTCTTCTGATAGCGGGGAAACCTGTAATTTGTAAGCCACTACTTCCCAAAGAGGGAAAAATTTATGTCCAACTGATTTCTGGATATTTTGTATTAAGTATATCATACATAATTTAGTATTTTCAAAAGTGAACTCATTATTTTTTTCCCAAACCTTCTCCTTAATTCTCTATTTTATTAAAGTAACAACTATGTATTCAGTCACACAAGTCAAACACAAGTGGTCAGTCTTGACTTTTTCCCTCTCCTTCACCACTTCTACTTCAATCGGCAATCAAGGCCTATCAATTCTAACAGCTAAATAAATTACGTCCTCTTTATCCTCACTTTCATAGCCTTGGTAGACACCCCCATTATTCTGAACTAAAGATCACTAAAAGACCATTCAAATTACTGTCCTTCCCTGTGTTACTTTCTTATAATGAATCATTATTCTGTTTTAAGATGACCTCTCTGAAACAAATCTGATCATATTAGCTTTGCTAAAAATCTGTGACCCCACATAAACTCCATGATTTTGTCTTTCCACTCTTCTGCTTCAGTTTCCTTCATATGCCCACATGTACTCTTGTGATACCATAACTTTATTAACATTTTTCTTGGGAGGAAAAAGGCACAAAAAAACCCAAAGCAGAAACAGAAAGAGCCTCAACAGTCATGCCCTATCTAGGAATTAACAATTACTGAACTGTAACTGAACACAAAAAGTTTCATAGAAAATGAACATCATATGAGGTCACTTCATTACTGTGATGAAACAAAATAAGACCACCATCATGTATGAATATTGACGAGGACACCATGTAAGCAATAAACACACAAATGACCAGCTCTCCCAACTAACATGAATGCTTCTTCTTTTTCCCTGAAAATTTCAGCTCCTTTTTCATTCTTATCGGTCATCAAACTGTTCCTGCTTCCTGATAGCACCCAAACTAGAAGAACCATCACTTCTTTAACAAACTGTCTTCAAAATCACCCAACATAAGCCCAATCCTTACAATAAAAGCCTCTTCTGATTTTTTTACCAAGACACAGAGAGATGCCTTACAGGCACCCATGGAAACACTATTTCTGATAAAAAGAAAAGAAATCATGAACTTCACAAAAACCATTCCCAACTTAATATAATCCTAAAGTCAGGTTGGTGAATTACTGCTCTCAACTTCCAAGTGAGATCAAATTCTGCTTCCATGTAGCATGTATATGCAAGGTGCAAAGTGTAAGAATTTATATATAAACTTGACTCTTTTAATTGATCACAGTTAGACTATAAACTTTGAGACCAGACATTTACCTTGTTCATAATCTATAAACCCATTTCAGATGGTAGCCTGTCTGCTCATCAGCCTAAGTCCTAGCACAGTGGCTTAAACTTGTATATGTGTTAGCTAAATGGGTTAAAGGTATGTTCTGTAATAATGTTAATAAAATTATAACCATGAAAATGCAAAAGCAAAGTTGGAAAAGGCAAGTTTTGTTTTGTTTTTTAAGATTTTATTTATTGTCAGAGAGAGAGCACAAGCAGGGAGAGTAGCAACAATAGAGAGAAGCAGGCTCCCTGCTGAGCAAGGAGCCCCGCGCAAGATTTGATCCCTGGATCCTGGGATCAGGACCTAAGCTAAAGGTAGATGCTTAACAGACTGAGCCACCCAGGCATCCCAGGAAAAGGCAAGGTTTTGCAAATAGCAGGCATTCAATATTCTTTCACTATATAAAAAATTGAGCTCCATTATATACAGATACTAGATAGAAATATAGGCCTAATTTCTGTCTGCTAGACAGAACACAAGGTAAGATCTTGATCTCAAGGATCTCAGAGTTAAGCTTTGGAATTTGTTGAATAAATGAATGAATGATAAACGCAAAGAGGAAACATTTTACCAAATCTGAAATGTGTAGTCTAATAAATTTAGTGCCCGAACCACTATGTCATGTAAGATATGTAAGCTGGCTTTTTTAGCAATCCTAGGCTTCAGTACTCTGTAAGTTCAATACTGTCTTTGTTTAGGGGTTCCGCAGTTTCTAAAAAATAAGACTTCGGAATATTAAAATTATCAAATACCTATATAAGTCATCCTCCTGAAAACTCCTTATCATACCACCAATACCACTGCCATAATATTAGAACTTACCAGGATTCAGAATATCCATGTCATTACTAGATTCATAGTCTTCATTTGTTTCACTAAAGTCTATATAGTCATTATTCTGGAATAATACAGATTAGTATTTAGAATAAAATGAAAAGAAAAATGTACTCGTTTTATATTCTCATTGTTAAGCATAAATATAAAGATGACATGATGAATGTTTAAATATTTTTAATTGAACCAGAAATTGAAATCCTAAGTAAATAAAAAAACAAATTTCTTAGATTTGACAAGGCCATGGCAAATTTGGTTAACCGTTTCTATGAAATTTATAATTTGATCAAAGTAAATGAGTGAAAACAGGAAGTCATGATTTTAATATTTCCTGTCCATCTTTTCTTTTCCCTATAAAAATAGGCCATTTGTGCTATTAAAGAATATAATTTCAAGCTTCTCATAAAAATCAAACATTATCTTACCTTATTTTAAATGTTCAGAGCTGTTCAAGTATTAACGCTCTAAAAGCTGAACCTAGAGAGTTTTGCCAGGTTATCTTAGTTGATAAAGAGAAAAACAATAACCACAACAGCAACAAAATAGGCTGGATCTAAATAGGACCTCATTTCAACTAAACATTTTCCCACTACCTTAACATTATCTTAATTAGCTTTTCTAAAAGAATATACACTTAACAATGAATGAAAATTTGATTGTATCTGAGATATCCTATAAATGTTAAGGAAAGATAATACCTTTTTAGACAAAAGCATTTCTGTTTCAAGAAGAGTGACACGACTTAGAAGATTAGTCCACGTTTTTTCATTTACCATCACTCTTCCTTTCATTTTTTCTTCCAAAGAGTCTAATCTACTCTCTACCAAAGTCAGTTTCTGAAGCTTTTCTTGGCATTGAGCAAGCATAGTCTGTAGTGCAGTAATCTCAGGATTAATTTTAATATCCTAAAATGAATAGAGAGGTTAAAAATTATATTACACAAACTGAAATTCCTTTAAAACTCAATGTATCCCCATTTTCACTGCACTGTGTTATTTCAATAGGTAACAACAGGCAGTACAGCGTGAGAGTTGAGTGTGATCTGTAGAAGCAGAATGCTTGGACCCTAAAACTACCTCATCTGAGGTGTATGACCTTGGTGTCTCAATTTCCTTATATATTAAAAAAACAACAAACAAAAAAACCCAAAAAAACCCCAGTACCTACTTTATGTGGTTCTTATGAGGATTAATTTGCAGAAAGCTCTTAGAACAACACCTGGTGGTATGAGAAAACTGTCACTAACTTTTTTGTAATAGCTCCTAGCACAAAGCTAAGAGGGAGTGACAAAGAAATGACAGTGCATTGAGACTGTTCAGTTTGCTAAAAAAAGAAAATAACCTTCATGACCATGTGATAGTTTTTATAAGGGACAACTGTATACTGTGATGTACAGAAGTTACAAGAAACAGAAGAAAGACGGAAAAAGTTTAGCAGGAGCAGTACAGACTAGACGCTCTAATAGGGTCCGTGGCAATAAAGTAATAGAAAAAGTATTCTAAGAGTGAGAAAGGGATGGCAAGGGCCCAAAAAGGAAAATGAAATGGCAGGAGTGTAGTTTTTCCATTCATTAATGAAGGGAAGAGAGAGTAGAGAACCCTCACTGTACAAAGAAGTATATCTCCATCTCTCACCAGACTGTAAATTCCCTGAAGCAAAGTACTATCTCTTATCCATCTTTTTCTTACCCATAACACCTGGCCCAGTACCCTAAACATAAGCAGCAAATAATATCCATTGAATCCTATACAGTACACTTACTTATTCTTAAATAATGGTAACAAAGGTATTGTATTAAGATAAATAATTCAAAAGGCAAAAGACATTCCAAAGTTTAGGTGCTGAAGTAATCATGTACATCAAAGAAATACTGGCATCTGTTAAAGAAGTCCAAAATTCTTACTTGTTGTTCAGACTTGATTTCAGGGAACTTTACTTCAGGAATCTTTATTTCAGTCGTCTTTAAGTCACACACATCAAATGTTTCACTAACATCTGTTACGGTACTTATCCTATCTTCAGGAATGTTAACACCATCTTCGTTATACAGGTGACGGATCACCACAGCTTTTTTCTGCAGAGAAAAATATGTCAGAGCTGCTTAATGGTTTCCTCATACAACTATTTTAAACATAGACATAGTAACTTTGCAGAAGAAATATCCATCTTCCCTTTAAGATTTACCAAAGTTTAAATAACATATTAAGGTATATGTCAAACACTATCGATTAACTATTATTACTATTACTAATATTTTCTGTGATGAAATTGTTGTCCTGATTTTTAAAGCATTCTTATGTACTAGAAAAACTGAAATACCTATGCAGTGATGTCTGGGATTTGATTCCTATTGTTTCAGATTTAGGGGGAAAGATGCTAGAAAAGTGGTTACAATACAGATGAAACAAGATTAAGGAGGGGTTGATACACTGCTGATAGTGGGAACAGGTACTTTTTAAAAAAAAAAAAAAGATTATTTATTTATTTGAGAGAGAGAGAGAGAGAGAGAGAGCACAAGCAGGGGGAGCAGCAGACGGAGAGAGAAGCAGACTCCCCGTTGAGCAGGAAGCCCGATGTGGGGCTCGATCCCAGATCCCTGGGATCATGACCCGAGCCCAAGGCAGATGCTTAACCAACTGAGCCACCCAGGCACCCCCGGAATGAGTACTTTTATAAATGTTTGGAACATTTCATAATAGGTTGCCACATAATTGACATATAATCAAGAACTGGCTCTGTGAGGAGGACCCATTACAATTTTTTTTCTAATAAAAAAGCCAGAAAATATAAGACCTTCAGCTAATAATTCAAACTTAATAATAACAAAGGGAAAGTCCTAAGAGTAAGGCATGAGGTCAAACTATGCATTCACACAAGACTCTTCTCTGCCTACTTCCTTCACTATAGACAGACTGCATATGCACTATAAATATGTCATATAAGATAGAATTCACAAATCACTATCTATAGAAGGTACTGGGAAAAGAGACCATTGGCTTTAGTATTGACTCAATCTCTGCCTATAAAGTACTGATTCCAACTTTTCTAAGTTGGAATATTTTTATTTATTTATTTTTTAAGATTTTATTTATTTACTTGACAGAGAGGGACACAGTGAGAGAGGGAACACAAGCAGAGGGAGTGGGAGAAGGAGAAGCAGGCTTCCCGTGGAGCAGGGAGCCCAATGCGGGGCTCGATCCCAGGACCCTGAAATCATGACCCAAGCCGAAGGCAGTCGCTTAACCGACTGAGCCACCCAGGCGCCCCATAAGTTGGAACACTTTTAAAAGTCACTCAAATTTCTGAAAAGATCTGGTGTCATTGATTAAATTTTGATTAATAACAAAGAATACTTTGTTTTAAGAAAACTAAAAACAAGTTTAGGGCGCCTGGGTGGCTCAGTTGTTAAGTGCCTGCCTTCAGCTCAGGTCATGATCTCAGGGTCCTGGGATCGAGTCCCACGTCGTGCTCCCTGCTCAGTGGGCAGTCTGCTGCTCCTTCTATCCCTACCCCCCCACCCACTCTCTCTCATTCTCTTTCTCTCTCTCAGATAAATAAATAAAAAATCTTAAAAAAATAAAAAGTTTAATGCCTTGAAATTTTGCACCTTATTAAGACAATTTAGATTATTACTCAGCACCAAAACTGAAATAGAAGATTGAAAAATATATTTAGCATATAACTAATATTTAGTTATACTAGTTATAATAATTATTATAACTAATATATTATATAATACTATATATTATTATATATTATACAACTAATATATTAGTTATAATCATAGCTCATATTTAGGAAGTGCTTACAATGCCTATGCTAAGCACAAGAAGGTTACAAAAAAGCAGTATAAGAAAATTCCTGTTTATATAAAATCGAGTTGGGTAAGGATACTGTATATAAACCACTTAGAAATTAGAAAGAAAATTGTGTCAAGCTAACGAGTTAGGTAAGTTAGAGATTCAGGTGTACAAGAAGTATGGGCATTTATTCAGAAACCATGTATCTTTTAATTCCTTTTCTTATTGCTCTTATTACCTGCAGCAAAACAGTTATATTAAAAAAAAAGTAATTAACATTTTCCCTTCAGTAAAATGTTAAATTTATAAAGGCATAAAAGTATCTCTTTTATAGATTCTATTAATATAACTCATGCAGTTTGGACTGGGGAGAAATAATTCTCTAGATTTTACTTCAGCCAGAAACTATTCATATCTTTTATCTAATGACACCTTATTTATCTGATATTCTATCCTTTGATCTCAGAAATGGTTTGCCCAAAGTGGAACACAGCTAAAAATATAATACTAATTGTTATAAAGTAATATTTTGGCCTCAATGTCTCTTGGAGATAGAAACGCTATCTCTAAATGCACTGGACTCATTCAGCCACTAGTATTCCAAGGAGACAGGGTAGGTAAGATATTTATTAACAAAGAGAAAATATTCAAAAACCCACCCCAAAGCCAGATTATAGGTTTAGGGACTATCAATCACTGGATAATATACCCTATCACTATTAGCTAATGGTATGCTCTTCAGACATTCCCATGTCTTAGAAAGACTAGATACATAATTAAGAGTACATGTCAAGACCACATAATACAGCGTTTCCAAATCACTGCATTCTACCTAGGAAGTGAGGCAGAAGTACGGATTAGAAACATAAAGAGAAAAATTGTTCAATTTTACATTTCTACCTTCTTATAATGTGAGGACTGTCCGCCAGATAATATGGTATACATTGCTAAAAATCCTTATGCTATATCTGACTAAAATGTTTTACTAGCTACTAGTCAGAAAAGTGAAACTTGTACATTAATTAGGTAGATAATTCTTAGCACTGACACATTTTCTTTGTATTTTCCTACCTTTCCTGAAGTCATAAACCTGCCAGTGATGTCAATGCCAACAGGTTCTGTAGATGTTTTCTCAGTGCTTGAAGAAGGTTCTGACTTAACAGAACTGATTTTCTTTCTTTGTTGTGATGGAATCTTAAAAAAAAAGTATTAAGACTAATTTTACGTGAAAGCTGACATATTTAAATTATATTATTTAAATTTTCATATACGAAATACAACTACCAAATGATAAGAATCTAATGAGACATGTCTTTTGAAAACTAAGAAGTGAGGAAAATGTGTTATGTTTGAATTGTTAGCTTAGGACTAGTAGCTTAAAGTCACAAATGTGTGAAAACAAGTGACCAGTATTTAAAAGAAACATAAGGTATATGGTTACCCAAATCTGTGAACAATGCAGTAATTGTATTTCTGTGTTAGTCTGCTATCTAGGGTATTGACTTTATATGTTAAAATGCTGCGCCACTTGGAATGAGTTAAAATCAATTAATAAAATTACCTTCTCAAGACTACTCAATTCCTTGTGCTTTTTCATCACACAATTCAAAATATCACAAATAATTTGGATTTTCCATTCTGCAAATCCACACTGGAGAAACTGCTTTTTTGTCAAGATTGGTTTATAATTAAATTGATCACGCAGAAGCTGTAAAGAGGGAATAGATCAAAATCCAAAATGATAAATGGCCACCTGCTCAGGAATGTAATAACATCTCTGAGAGGAGAAGGAGGATCATGCCAATAGATTAAGGGTACTAAAGAGATTCGTAGGAGTGGTGTGAGTCATGACCAGGTAGGAGAGGTATTCATGTAGAAAACAGCTAGGCAGAAAGTAGCAGAGAATAGATGGCTGTGTAAGATGAAAAAACATAGCCAATGATCAAAAAGTTCAAACATCCTCATTGGTACTAGAAAAATTCCTTAACTTACTAGATAATAAAGAATACCATACCAGATGTCAGAAAACCATAATTTATTTAATTCTTACATGACATGATTTATTAGATAAGTCAGTAGGCCTCTGAGTTTCAATGTCTCATTTGTAAATGAGAGAAAGAGACTAACTAGACCAGCAATTTTCAAAGCCTATATTATAAAATCCTAGGATTTCTTAGAAGTGCTTCTCAGGTTTCCATGGAAGCTTGCTGGGGTTAGAGGCAAAGACAGGGAAGACTAAACAGACTCTATACACGTAAAAGCTCCTGTTTCATCAAATGTAATTCACTACTTTAAAAAAATTGATTTGATAAATGGGTTTTACTATTTTAACAGTGAGAAAACCAGTGCTTGAGTAAAAATTAATGATAATCTGGAGGTATTCTTTAATCTTATGAGATGTTCAGTATACACAGAGTACAAATGCAGATACTGGAGTAGATATAAGACATGGTCCCAGACCTCAAGGAACATAAAATCTCAGTTTTAGTTCCCTCTAATTAAATTAATCACAATTCTATAAACCACAAACTACTCAAAGTCACATTTCTAACTTCTGCCAACATGCCAAATTATACTAAAATTTGATATAAAAAGAGCAAATGATAACCAATGACATTTTTACCAACTGCCACTTATTAGATTATAAAACATAACGGGAGCTTAAATCATCTTGATTATAACAGGGACTGCATCTAAATGAGAAATGCATATGAAAATACTGTCAACTATATGTGTTGCACATATATAAGGGGTTATTATAAAACATTACTCTTAAAAATCATTCAATGACTTCTGAAATTATTTCAGAAATTCAAAAATACCTTATAGACGGTATCTATAAAGCGCAAGTCATTCTTCGCTATGAGCTCTATATTGGATTCCATCAGAAGTTCAGCTACATAAGGTGAATATGAGGTAAGGGAATAGCTAATGATGGGCAAAGATGCTGCTGTATCTCCCTTTACCAAACTGTTCGGGAGAAAAAGAAAAAGATATTTAATGAGCATAATTACACAAAGTTAGATAAGAAAGGCAATATAAAATATGGTGTCAATAATTTTATAAATTAACACTCCAGCCAAATAATTAGGAAATAAAACCCTCTAGAGTCCATCCCCTACTCTAACTCAGTATAGCCAAATTACTATGAAATAACAGTTTATTTTCTAAAACAGCTCTTTAGTAACAGTACAGTCTATTCACCACAGTATTTGAATTTCCAAAGCTTAGCCTTACTTGATCAGTCCATTTTCTCTAAACAAATGTACCACCTTATAGTGCTCGAGTACACTTTATGGTTTTGCAAACCCTTTTTACATTACCTCATTTGCTCTTTACAATAAACCTGCAAAGGTAAAATATCATGAATTCTACATTACAGAGGGGAAAATAGGGCTGGAAAAGGCATCTACAGTCACTGGGCTGATCAGTTTGCATCTTCCACTTGTATCAAGTTCAGTAGAAATCTGTGCCTTAGTAGAGTATGCTAATTCCTCCAGTCTAGAAAGGTATCCCATTCTTTTCTGCCTGTTATTCACTCTTATAAATTATTTGGCAAATCTCAAGCCTTCCAGGAAGCCATCCTCAATTTTCTGATCCACACTGATGTCTTACAGAATGAGTCTCAGGGCATTCAGTGTCTGATGCCTCATGCTCTGTCCTGTACTGTTTTCTACTTGTCTACACATATGGACCTTATTTTCTCAATGTGAAGTACCTTCACTGATTCTCCCACAACAAAGCAAGGAGGTATTTGTTCAATTAGCCAGTTATATATGTTCAACTGACATAAAAATGCACTTACAGAAAACATTTGTTTTCCACAAAATTCAAGACATACATAAATTTCCCCATCCTCACCCCAATTTTTTTTAAAAGGCAGAGAACAAGTATATAATGCTAGAATTACATTTTATTTTTAAGGACAAATATAAATCGTTTCTTTTATATTTATGGGTACAGTAATACTCTACCCAGTGAGAAAACTGCTCTGGCAACCTTGTCCATTAGTTAGGAAATGAAAACAATACTTTTGAACAGCAAAATCTGTCCATTTTATGCACATTCTGACTAGAAGACAGCCAGGGGCTACATTTAATACCTCTTGTTTTAATTCAAAAATCTTGATTATCTAGTTTCTAGGGACTTTAATTAGAAATAGTAATAAAATAGATATTATAAACTGGCACACTGACACAAAAGGGAGATGCTGGAAAAAGGTTAAAAATGGATAAGAAATATAAGAATCAAAATATGTGTGGGGGGAGTGTGTCTGTGGGTGAGGGGGGTAACCTGAATAAGCAGCAGCAAGTAGTGTTACTTATTTCAATAGACCCTGCAGAGTGCTATGTTTTGAAATAGTCTGAAAATTATTGTTCTTAATGATACTCTTCAGTCAGTTAGAAAATCAAATGTTTAGATTCCATACTCAAAAGACAGGAGAGTAATTGGTATATTTTCCAAGTATTCCTATCCAGAATGTATCTTAAAATGATGCTTCAAGTAGTAAGAAGAAAATGCGGCTATTCAAACTGGTTAAGTCCCAGCAAGACAAGAAAGTAGAGATGTCCCTGTTGTAAGCAAGCAGGATCTGATTGGTACATGCTGTGGAGCACCTTCTGATTCTCACACAGGCCTGGAATCGGTCATTAGAGCTCAGGTTTCTCCCACGATCCTCACCATCCTTTCATTTTGCCATCCCTTGGGGTTACAGATCTCCCTACATTCCATCCACACGTATATGTAAAGCACATCCCTAGAACATCCACTCTTACATGTCACGCACATTATTCCAGGATTCTTTTTACTGTTCAACCAAGTTTTACTCTACTACTTGAACATATAGCTAATCTGGACTTGTCCCTGGACACTTACTCATTGAATAAATGTCTAGTTAGCTACTAACATGTGCCAGGCACAATTCTAGATGTGAGGATATTGCAATGAACAAAACAAAGTACCAGTCTTCAGCTTATATTCTAGTAGGGAATACTTTCAATCAATAATCCCAGGTAAGAAGAAAAAAAAATATTAAGGGATAGAAGATGAGAAGAGTACCATATTTAGATTAGCATGAATACAGAAGAAATACATGTTGCTACATACTACAAAGCAAGTCAGTCCTATTTGGAAAGTGAAAACTACAGTGAAAGGTTCAAGTGGGGTCTATCAAATGAGTTAGCTTAATAACAATCTTTACACATGGTGTAAGTTGTCATAAGAAGCCCATTAACTAGAATCTTCCACATCAAATAGCAAATTATATAATTAATGTGATCCATTATACTTCAAGGAGTTTAAAAGTTGTATAGAAACCATATCTTGTACAGATGTATATTGTGGTTCTACTTCTAAAAGGTGTTTTAAACCTCGAGTTAGAATTTTTCATTGATTCATACTTAGAAAAAAACTCCTGTAATTCCCTGCTTTCTAAAATATTTTAATCATTTCAAGGAAAATTTTAAAACAACCCAGGTAAAATTTGTCTCTATTTAGATACACCCCCAATGTTAAATCTTACCTCAAATAATTATCAAAAAGAAAACAAATAAGTTTGATACAGAGCTTACCCAACACAATCCACCTCTTGAGGATAATTTAGTGAGCGAAGCACTTGCTCTAGGTTCCGTAAGCTTCTTTTTAAGTCACCTGTTGCCATTATTTAACATTACATTCAGCTCCAGCTTTTGAAATAATCTAATTTTTCACCTAAAAATAAATCCATAAAACACTGGTTAAGTCTATTTCTGAATCTTTATTTTGTTCACATCTCTTACAGGCATTAAACATATTTATCTTATCTTAGCTATTTCTGTGCTAACTTCCCTTCCGTACTGGTCCAGTGCAATCATCTATCTACGGTATATTCCCAAATATAAGATAGACTTTTTCCCCCAAATACTTTCCTTACAAAAAAAAATGTTTGCCTTATGTTCATATTCTTACAATGTGTCTCATGATATTCTCCCAAATTGTTTATTCTGAACAAAGTTCCATTTGGGAAGAGAAATCAACCTGAAATAATCTCCATCAATGACTATTTTAGATGCTTATAATGGTTACATAATAAACTCAGTAAAAAAATGGAGACAAAAGAATTTATTACAGATTTAGTCATTATTCCCAGGGCTTTGACCTCATAGTTGCCAAAAAGATGCTTTGCTTAAAAAATAAAAATAGATGAGTTAAAAAAAATTTAGGATTTGGCTTGTAAAATGTGGTGGATTAAGTGCATGTTATCTTTATTTCTTTTGTTTTAAACATCACTAAAATGAAAGTAAATGATTAAAAACCATATATACTCACCAGGGCAAAATGAATTAGAGGGGATTCCACATGACAGGAGAAGTATCAACAAAAGTGTGGAAGATGGAAAGCAGATGAATAAGTGAAAACCAACCTAGCAGAGCAGAGACAGGCTAATCTTATCTGCCCATTTAAGAGGAAACAAACAGCAGCAAGGTAAGTTCAGAAATGAGGGGCCCTTAATGCTTATGAAAGGCTAAGGGGTAAGACCAAGGGGGTTGAAGTAAGGATGATTATTCGAAAGTCCATGTAAGGAGCTACTAAACCCTATATTTTTACTTTCCCTCCCCCTCACCCCCTCCCACATATTTTGTTCAGCTAGGCAACTACCTCTCTGCATCCCCAGGTTTACCAATGGGTTTTTAGATAATATCAGAGCACAATCAATAAATTTTTAAATAAGTTGTACATCATTAAAATTTAAAACTTCTTCGGGCACCTGGGTGGCTCAGTTGGTTGGGCAACTGCCTTCGGCTCAGGTCATGATCCTGGAGTCCCTGGATCGAGTCCCGCATTGGGTTCCCTGCTCAGCAGGGAGTCTGCTTCTCCCTCTGACCCTCTTCCCTCTCGTGCTCTCTATCTCTCATTCTCTCTCTCTCAAATAAATAAATAAAATCTTTAAAAAAAAAATATCTGAACATTCATCTCACCAAAGAAGACATACAGATGACAACAATCATATAAGATGCTCAGTATTACATATCATTAGGTGATTGCAAATTTAAAAAAAGAGAGAGAGATACCACTACAGACCTATTATAATGGCTAGAATCCAAAAAACTGATGATACCAAATATATATGGGATATGGAACAACAGAAACTCTCACTTATTGCTGGAAGAAATGTAAATGGTATAATCATTTTGGAGGACAGTTTAGCAGATACAAAGCTAAACAGTCTTACCATACAATCAGCGAACATGCTAACAAGGTATGTACATATACTATCTTGCACGTGAATGTTTATAGCAGCTCTATTCATATCGTCAAAAAGTGAGAGCAACCAAAATGTCCTTCAATAGGTGAATGGATGAAAAAAATCATGGTACATCCATACAGCAGGATATTTAGTCAGCAACAAGGAAACGAGCAGCAACAAAAAGACATGGATGGACCTTACTGCCTCTTCCTAAGTGAAAGAAACTAGTCTGAAAAGGCTACATACTGTACGATTTTAACTATATGATATTCTGGAAAAGACAAAACTGTAGTGACAGTGAAAACAACAGAGATCAGTGGTTAAGCAAGGACTCAGAGGAAAGGAGAAGAGAGGGTTGAATAAGTAAATGTAGGGAAATCTTTTAGGGTAGTGAAAGTATTCTGTATGATACTGCAGTGGTAGATACATGACAGTATGCGTTTGTCAAAACCCATAAAACTGGATAGCACAAAGAGAACCTAAGGTATGCAACCTTTAAAAAAACCATTTAGAAGCTGGGAAACCCCAGGACAGAACGCAGACTGTGACAACAGAATCTAACTGTATTACCAGTGTGTGAAACAACCTCATAGAAGCGGATGGGTGGACAAGGTGCTAACTAAGTAACTTTGGAATTGAGTGCAAGGCTAAAGACAAAACCACTTGCATATAAATACTGTACCCTAGTTTATAAAGTTGTTTCCCAGGTACTTATGAATTAATTGATACTTCTATGCATACACACTGGAATTGAACAATTAAGTAAACATATGGCAGAACAGAAGTCGAAGTTTCTTACTGCTAGAGTGGGAATTTATAGATCAGTAAGGAGAGGAGACTAGAATGAGCCAAACCTGCCTAATCCATCAGTTAGAAAATTCCAGGATGAAGTCATGTTCAGCTTAATATAGATAAAGATAGTTATATACTGAAGGATTTCTAGATATGTGTATATAGACAGCTAGTATACATGTATTTCCCTTCTCTGCCAGCTGAAAGTGATTAAAAGCAACAACACCCCAGCAGTAAAGAGCACACCTCACATTCAGATCTTAGTGTGTATAATGTTCTCCAATAAAAGAAACCGGGACTCCCTGTAGAAATGGTTAAATTCTAAGACTGGAACAGAACATATACAAGATGAGCCTGAAGTATTACATAGTTCCAGAAAGTGAGAAAGTATACACAAACCAATCCCAAAGTGATGGGGGTATGTCAATAGGACATAGGAGACAAATGAAACAGTTCCCAATGGTCAAAGGCGAAACTACCTGAACAACAAAATTAATTTAATACTATTGGATTATAATCCAAAGTATAAGCAAAACAGAAAATGAATTACTGTAGTTCAGTGTATTAACAAATAAAGGAGAAAATGTTATCATTTCAGCACATTTCATAAAATTCAACATTCATTCGTAATATAATTCTCAGGACATTAGAAATAGAAGGGAACTGTGTACATTTGATGAAGGATATCTACAAAAACAAAAATAAAAACCTACTGCAAACATCATACTTCAAAATAATAGAAGCTTTCTTCCTGAGACTGGGAATGAATCTTGTTCCCTCATCATTTCTCTTCAACATTGTACTACAGGTCATAGACAGTACAAAAATGCAAGAAGAAGAAATAAAAGGAATAAACACTAAAAAGGAAAAAATAAAATTGTCCTAATTTACAGATGACGTAATTGTATATAAGAGTCCAAACGAAATAAGTGAATTTAGCAAGGTTGCTGATGGGTAGAAGGCCAGTACATAAAAACCAGTTGTATTTCTCTGTATCCCTCAAGTAATTATATAATTTTTTAAAACAAACTTTCTATGTATAAACCAAGTAGCCTCAAAAGTATCATAAACATGTGAATAAATCTAGAAAAGATGTATAAGACCTCAAAACAAAAAACCCTAAAACTTTCTTGAGATGTATTAAAGAAGCCCCAAATAGAAAAAGTATACAACTTGTTTAAGGATTGGAAGACTCAAAAAATTGATCCACAGATTCAATGAATTCCCCCCACCCCCCCCCAAAAAAAAATCTCTCAAGGTTTTTTTTTTTTTGATGGAAATTGACAGGCTGATTCAAAAATGTATCCAGAAATGCAAAAGATAAAGGATAACTAACACAATCTTGATAAAAATCAAAATTGCAAGATTTAACCACTGGATAACAAAACTCATTATAGGGCGCCTGGGTGGCTCAGTCGTTACGCGTCTGCTTTGTCTCAGGTCATGATCCCAGGGTCCTGAGATCAAGTCCCACATCGGGCTCCCTGTTCGGCAGGAAGCCTGTTTCTCCCTCTCCCACTCCCCCTGCTTGTGTTCCTGCTCTCGCTATCTCTCTCTCTGTCAAATAAATAAATAAAATCTTTAAAAAAAAAAAAAAGACTCATTATAAAGTTACATTTGGAATTAGTGAAAATATGTACAAATAGAATAATGGAACAGAAGAGTCCAGAAAAAGACCATGCATATATTGACGCTAGATTTATGACAAAGTCGATGCTGAGTAGCCCTGGAGAAAGGATGGTGTTTTTCAATAAATGGTACCGTGTCAACTTAATACCCAGATAGAATAAATAAATCTTCACCCCTTGATGTAAATGGTACCTCACATCTTTTACCAAATTAATTCCAGGTTTATTGAAGACCTAAACATAAAATGTAAGACAACCTGGCTTGCTGGAGATCATAGAGGAGAATATCTTTGATCTTCAGGTAGAGAAAGATTTCTTACCTTATGACTGTTAAAATGAACCACATTAAAATTAGCAACTCTGTTCATCAAAAGACACCTTCAAGAGAGTGGAAAGATAAACCACTGAGAGAAAATGATGCTGTCGATCTATAAAACCAACAAAAAGATTCATAACTAGAATATGTAAAGAATCTCCTTCAAAGCAGTAAGAAAAGGAAAAACAGTAGAAAACAGGAAAGAGACCTGAACAAGAACTTTACAGAAGAGTAAACAAGTGAAAAGACATTCAATCTTATTTATCATTAGGAAATTCCAAAGTAAATCCAAAATGTGAAACTGTAGAACATCTGAAACTCACACAACGCTCTGGAAGAGTAAATTAGTACAATTAATTTGGAAAACTTTATGGCGATATCTACTAAAGCTGACATATAAAGGGCCTAGGAAATAGGAATACAACTCCAGAGAATATATGTACAAAACAGAGTATGGTACGTACATGGGCACCAAAAGACAGGAACAATATTTGAGATTTTAAATAAAATAGTTCATTTTTTAAATTCCAAAGAAAATACCATGGCATTATATTTTTAAATGACTCATTGTATGGTGTAGGTCTTTCATTAAATTCTCGAAGATTATTCCCCAAAGAGGTTCATATAATAAATACAGACAGGTAAATAAATGGTTAAGAATCTTTGCTAGAAAGAGCTAAAAGGCTTCTAAACTGTAAGTCTAGTCAATCAGTAAGGCAATGTCCAATAACACACTTAAAAGAGATCTATTTGTAACTGTCCATGGACACTTCATAGAAGGAAAATATGTAACAATACCTTGAATAATGAATCCTCTGGGAACGAAGCTTCTTTAAAATGAAGTCATTGACATTAAAAACAAAACAGAACAATTCATAAATCAGGTAGAGTTAGTATAATCTTTTCCCCCAGTCAACATTCTAGTAGTTGCCCAAGATACAAAATAACTCCTTACACACTTTCTGTATTTATGCATAACAAGAGGTAATAAGGTCAGCAATTTGCAAAATCCTAAATTTAGTAGGCTTTCTATTTTAAGCCCCTAGCCACTGAATTCTGCTTTCCCCCCTCTTTAGGAACACAGTATCTTCCTGTTCCAAGACTCCTCTCCTTTAACAACATGGTAAAGAACAGATTATTGAGTATAATTTACATATTCATGCACGGATTTTAGTCAGTATTTTTCCATTAATAAATTACTTCTAAATATTTACATTTTTAGGCAGAGGGAATTTCAGGTACTGCCAAATGAGAGATACTAGAAAAAGAGGAAGTGATCCTGAAATCACATTATACAAAATACTGGCCAAGAGAATAAGCCTTATTTAACATCTTTTAGGATGACTAGGGGAGAGATGGACATAGGGGAGCAGTA